AGCGAAATCTGAAACTCTGCTAGTAATGATGGTGCACGATCGCCGTGCAGAATTCTGCAGGCAGTAACTCTTGTGTGTGTGTTTTTTTAAATAATCAGGAAGCTGTACAACAGGACTGAGCGAGAACTAAGTCCTCTTGTTCTGCTGAAACGAAAAAACCACCAGCAGATTGAAAAAATAAATCAAGACTCAGCATGAAGGAAAATCGAGGACAAAAATTTGGTCAATACCCGCTAAAATGAACCACAAACTCCTTAAAAAACAATTATAGGTGTCACGAAATTTTTGGAATATACCACTTTTATGGTAAATCCGGTGCAAAAATGAGTGCCAGTAGCAGTAACTACCAAAAAAGTTATCACAGCTCCTTCCTTCAAGGGCTGCTAGAGGCAAGCTGATGATAATTACTACTTCCGAAATATGTCAGCACCAATTTACCGACCGGGCAAGTAGCAATTTTTTCAACGCAGAATCGAACTCGACTTCTGAGCATGATATCAGTATCAGCTGTTATGACCAAACGTGTGACTTTTGACAGACGCGGTGAGGAGGGGGAAGCAGGGAAGAAAGAATGAGGGACAAACTAGAGCGCCTCTCCTTGGACACTTCGGGTACCAATTGTTTTTTGCGGACCGTACCGTGGTACATCCCCTGAAAATTTCAACTCCCCAGCTTTCTGGTTTCAGAGTTAGCCACTTTCGCGTCAAAAACTTTCACGGGGCCGTACTTGAGAACCACGCATGTCCGGGAGCTGAATTTGATAAATTTAAGCTATACATTTGCTATGAAAATTCCCGAAGGTGGCTGTGCGGTTAATAAAATTGCCCTGTCAGACGGAAGGTAACTATACTCATACCCCAGGAGACACATGTTTGATAAAGAGTACTAAAAAAACCAAAAAAAAAAAAAAATGCTCACCCATTTTAACAAGTGCTACAGCCAGATCGCTACATTTTGAGGCCATCGTACGCAACATTCGCACCAATGCCTGGAATGTATTTGGGCCCACAGCACATGGCTGTACGATGAGCAGCTGCTGCACATTTTTGAGCAGTGCATGATTCTGACCCGCTATTTCGCGCAACTTATCCACATGATTGCGCATATTGTCCACAAGTCGGCAGAACAGAACACAAACCGATTCCAAACATCTTTTATCCTAAAATCAAACATTTTCAGGTACTTTTTAGTAATTAATTTCCTTTTTTTTTTATTTAAAATAACATTATTACGGCCATCCCACTCAAGATACCCGAAGTACGCAACTAAACTTTGGCACACCGCACCAAAAATGGAACTTTCATTTTTATATTCTATCTGTTCAAACGCCAAGAAATATCAAGAACAGAAAAATCGTCCGACAATCAAATCCTGGATCCGTATGTCACTGCCTTAAACATGGCAGTATTGAAGGGGTGCGCTCGGTCCTTCTGGATCGGCGTTTTGAGGAAATCGGTGATGCTGTGAAACTTGCGCCAGTCCACAGCCCATCGATACTACCTGAGGCTGAATATCGCAGTGCATGCTTATTTCCCGTTTCGAGATAGACGCAACTGTCAACTTCTTCCAAGTTCAAGTAATCCATTTCCTCCTCAGAGCTGTACCTCGATTTCCAAGACATAAAAAGCTTAAAAAAAATAGTATGGACAACAAAATCGTTACCTCAACGAGGAGACGCTGTGTGAGGTCAGCAAGTGAATCGCGTACTTGAGGAAAATCATTGGCCGTCACATATGTCGCACAATTCGCAGCTATTTGAAATGCTAAACGTTGAGACGGAACCGAAAAGAAATCCACGTGAGATATTGTTGCTGCTATGCCACCCTGCAAAATTCCTACTCGTTCTGGTTCGAACACGGATATGCTAGTTATTCTAGCAGGAATTCCCCACAAAATCAAAACAAACAATCCCTAAACCGCGCCATTTCTCGACGTTTCTCAGTCCTCTCTTCTTCCTCGTTGAAAAAACAGAACGTGCGATGTACCCCCCACAACCGCTTTTCAAAAAAAAAAAAAAATCCGCAAAACTAACCGCTTGCATAATAGTTTTCCCGTTTCTTTTTGACATCACTTCCAGTGCCATTAGAGACTGTTCGGCCACGTCGATGCACTCGATACGTTTCAACTAAAACTAACAAAAGTAAAGGTGGATGTCGCAAAAAATCGGTAATTAGTCTAACATACCGTCACACTGACGAGGTCCAGTTGCAGCACTGAATGGGAATGCATGCGACTTAATGGACCGAAACATTCCTATTCAATTTTTATTTTTAATTATTATCTTTTGTTACAATCTTTTCCATAACTATAAAATATTCAAATAAACAAGCAACAACGGGAACCTTTTCAAGAAGGTGAGGGACAGCATCAATGACAATTGGAAGCGCCCGCGGTAAAGCCTCAAGCATATTGGAGATGCATCTCGCTGCTGTGAGCATCTGAAACACATAATTTTATGCAAATTCGAAAATACGAAGAAAATCAGAACTCTTCGACCAATGCGGTTTGAGGGTTCCACGTTAGTGGTGATCATTGGGATGTTCCCAATGTTCCCATGAGCTATGCCAAGCCCTTCGATTCTGAGCTGCACATCTCCAGTTACCACTTAGTATCGTTCCGATATGCGTGATTCACTTCCTCAAAGGTCACTTCAGTGGTTGTTTTCTTTCTTGTGGGTGCAACCCATCAACATACAAAGTTCATCCGCTGTCAGCAAGGTGAGCAACATGTCCTGCGCAACGGATTTTACTTTCTTGTACGATCATAATAACATTTGGCTCAACGCTAACTTTTCATGAAATGACCTTACAAGCAATCTTTCCTCCTATTTCCCTTCCCGTCGTAGTCAGCCCCCTTTCTTCTGCCTCTACTTTTGCTCTGCACCCCAATTTTGTCGCTTTTACCACAGCAGAAATGGAAGTGAGCACGGCGATTCCAATTCGGTATTTTGAGGAAATTCGCAAAGCTACGGAATTTGCGCCAAGCGGCAATCTTTGTGCGTCCAACCTCCGAGCGGAGAGCTATATCCTTTGCTATATCCAAGAAGGCTTTGCAATATCTAATGTGTACCACGAATGAGTTAAAAAGCAATTTACACGAACGCCAAACATAGACTGCAAAAATCTCTCGCAGCCATATTTGGGGGCGATCAGAGATGATGAATGCAAAAAAGAGACGTCTCTTACCAATTCAAAATTATGTTCCTTCTGAAGAAGTGCAATGAGAGCATGTATGATATCCTTGATTGGCAAATTCGGGAGACTTTCTTCGTTGCCTAGGAGGAGCATTTCGGCAAGTTCAGCGGCTGCTTCCGCCTGGCTAAGTTCATTGCTTGAACGAAGACCCTCCATTATCGTAACAACTCGAGCATCTAAAATTGTATTCGTAGGCTACCAGAAACTGTCTGCGACTATAACAGAGCCTTTATTATATGTGTGAAAGGCAGTGGCAGCGTGTACCTGGCTTATCGGCACAAAAATGCGTTTTTCACACAATTCCCATGGATGTTTGTTGCAAAACAACACTACTTTTTTCGGGGACCAAGGGGGGGGGGGATTTGATAATTTTAGCTAAATGGATTCGTTATTATCATTTATGTTTTCACGGTGTTAAGTTTTCGTACAGAAACTATCAATGCCAAAGTGCACCGTAAGTGATATGAAGGGAATGGGTTGTAGTAGCAAAATTCTCAACATCAAGCCGCATGTGTCAATACGCGAACTATACCCAAGGGTGCATAAAAGCTAAATTTAGGTACTCTGAGTGCCAAAAGGGCAAGGAATATCTTGGTAAAGTTCCAGCCTGTCTGGTTCCCGAAATCGTTTTCACGTGTTCTCTCGTAAGAATCAAGACGACGTGAATGTCCATTTTATGCCTACGGACTCATCCGCAGTGGTGGATCAAGTTACTCAAATTACACCGTCACAAGTATCGTAAGTCCGCAGATTGAACTTGCACACAGATATACACATACAGATACACATGTGTAAACAAACATACACACATGTGTACACAAGCATACACACATGCACATATATATATATATAT